CCAAAAAGTCCCTGATCAGCTAAATGCTGGGGTGGTTCACTGCGATGGCCACAACACATGAGGTTCCTGTGCACCAGGGGATCAGAGCAATGTGATCCACAATTCTCATGGGCAGATCGCCTGATCTTCTTCCCAGTCTATGTTAAACTGAAAGCTCCTTGAAGATTGTTCATCAGCCTGGCAACAGGCAAGTCTCCATTGACTGATGGGGGTGGATGCCCTTGCGGTGCATTGACCAGGGATTGGAGGTAAGGGATTCAACCACTGAGCCCCTACTTCCTCCAGCAGGTACACAGATGTTCACAAGGTCTCTAGTCTTATCTCCTCATGCACTACGCAAATGTCTACTGATTGACTTTTTATATAACTATTTGTTTGGTGGTTTTCCTTTTAATCCCTACTACACTACAGAATAGACTGTCAGCCAACGATGATACCACGATTCAAAAGGAGAACACAAATGGAAACGGGAGAAAACAACAAAAGGAGGCAAAGAGAATTAAGAACAAAGCAGACACATGAAAGAAACAGCTCTGAGCTTCCATACCATGAGCTTTCCTTCAGCAAAGCGATCAGACACAGAGTAACCAGGTACTGGCATTTCAACCACCAACACTGCCTAGCGAAGAAGACAAGGCTTCACGCTCTCTGAACAGGGCAAGCAGGTGTAAGAAGAGAGGAGCCTGCAACGGAGTCATTGTTTGTGAGCTAAACAGAACGCTTAGGGCAGCTCATTCACACCTAAGGAGCAAACCTTTCTGTCACATGAACACTCACAAGCATGCATTTGGTAATGGATTTACAAGAAGAGGAAACACACACACACACACACACACACACACACACACACACAACAGTGAAGGGAAGCCTGCCAGAGGATTCCCTCAGTCCTAGGGTTAAGAAGTCAAATACCGAAACTGTACTGCTAGTGTGTCTCCACACAAAGGGACCCCCAGCTGGCTAGCTTTGGGGTTTACAGTTGTTTAGAGGACGTTTTGGGGAAACCTAAATGTGGACGGGAAGGTCTCAGATGCTAGTGGCCACTTTGTGGCAGTTGAGAAGAAGAGATGGAGCAGAGAGGTCTGTAGAGAGAGGAGAGATGGAAGACAAGAGCGGGCACCTGAGCCCGAGGGGAAGAGCCAAGACATGCCCATGTGATGGAGAGACGACCAAAGACAAAAATCAAACTCACTGCTATAGAGTCACATCACCCCACCGGGCAGAGCAGAACCGAGCTGGTGGGTTTCCAAGGTTGTAAATCTTTTGGGAAGCAGAAAGCCTCATCTTTTTTCCTGTAGAACGGCTGATGAGTTTGAACTGCTCCCCTCATGGTTCACGGCACAACGTGTGACCCACCATAGCACCGGGGCTCCTTATGGTGGACAGGTTGGGGGGGGGGTTGCTATGTCTCATCTCCATTGTCTAAGACAGTCCCTGACCTCTTGAGCTGCTATATCCCTGTCCATTCCTCAGCTCTGTCGGCCTCGTCATCAAGTTGGCCCATGATAAGCACACATTAGGGTCAGGTTTCATAATCTGTGGGGTGTTAACTAGCTTATTGAGGGGAGAAGGCCTTTCTTTTCAGCCCATCTTAGTCTGAAAACTCTAACCTGTTTGCCATCCTAGCAGCATGCCAGCCTCTGATGACTGAAGATGGTTGTGTTAGTACCTGAGCTAACCGCCATGGTGCTTTGAAGGGAGGGAGGTCCAGGGATAAATACAGCAGTGGGCAGAATGTAGAACATGTTTGTAGAACAGGAAAAAACATTTGCAGAAGACAAGAAAAATGAAGCGAACAGAGTTGGTACAGAGTACAGCTTCAGACACAGAGGCAGACATACACGAACAACCAACTCTTCTGTGAGAGACCAGACTTTCTACAAGACGTATCTGGTAACATCCCCACTAGGGCACGGGGAGCCTGTGTTACATGATGGGGACTGGGTTAATGTAGCCTGTATTTTTTGAGTCAATCTTTTGCAAAATATAAAAAGAACAAATGAGGACAAGCAAGACGCTGAGACGGAGTGTGACTGATGGCAAGGGGTTCCCCAGAGCCAGCAGCAGAAGCTGATGAGACAAACCCTCCTCCGAAGCCCTTAAAGAGGGAACACCTTTTCCTTGAGCGCTGCACTCAGACATCGAGCCTCCTAACCTGCGAGAAAAGACTCTTCTCTTTGTTAAAGCCCTCCACGTGTGCTCCTCCTGTGACATTAGATTTCTTCCCAAGGCCCAACTCCATCTCCATAAATGAGAGGATGGAAAACTGGGAAGCTGTCTCAGGATCAGGGCAGGCACCAAGAACCCCCATTTGAGGGACCACAATCATGTCTGACGAGCTCCTTAGGAAAGATACTATATGTCTAAGGACAAACAAGTCTGTCGAGGATGGCAAAACTTCCTCTTACACACTCTGCACATGTGGTCAGGAGAGAGCAGTCCCCGGAGAAGGACATCACGCCGCTCACGGGCCTTGTATAAACAGGAGGAGAGCCATATGTGCCCCACAGGTCAGAGTCTGCCGACCCCTGGGGCTTTACTTTGGTGGGGGGGGGGCATGTTAAGTGGGCATATTTCCACCTGCCTTTAATGTGACATAGATGAATTGAGTTTGTTTCTTATTGTACTGGTTTTTTCACTTTTACCCCTCATCGTTCAATAATAAGAGACGATTCTAAGAGGACATGAATATGGAAGGAGAATCAACATAATCCCTTTTGTTGTCAGTTTTCATTCAAATCAGAGATTGTACGTCATTGACTGGTGTCTTCATCTTTTGAAAGGGCTACATGGAAATAAAATACAGCTTACTGAACAATATGCAAAAGCCCAAACCTTAGAATAGTCCAAAGTCTAGACAGTAGAGGGCCTAGCTTGCCAAAGGTGAGAGAGATGCTCACATAAGAATCAAGGGGTCTGTGTCCTCTTTAAAACACGGGGTGGCCTTCATGGTATCACGTATGAAAGAAAGCATGTTTGGTGCATGTCTTCCTCAGAGACAGTGAAATAGTAGTATCTAAGGATCAATGATCAGATATAGAGGCAACTAAGCCTGGCTTGATTTCAAACAGTGTGATTAGCATCCTACTGCTCAGTCAAAATTGCTGGGATCCACTTCATGATCTAGAAGTTACAACAATCTGAGGATGCAGAGACCTGGTCCAAACTCTGCGTCTCTGATCATCGGCTCTCCTGGCCTAGCGCTTGCTTGTGCTTATACACACTGGGCTACGAAAGTAGTGTGACCTACCTGCAGAACTCCCAAATGTGCTTTAGCGGACGTACAGCCAGGAGGCCCCTTAGCAGCACAGCTGAAGAGACTTAGCCTGCATACGTGGGGCATGTTACCAGAGGGCAGGTTCCTGGAAAAGGACCCCATGCTTGTGAAAAAGAGGAAGGCCCTCAAGATGGATTGACAGTGTCGTGGCAATGTACAACTGGGAGGATGGTGCAGGGCCAGCAGTGTTTCATCCAGCTGTAAGAGGGTCAATCTGAATGGGGACCTACTTGATGGCACCCCAAAACCACCCGTGGCCAAGTGGAGCATGAGAGCACATGTGATTCTTCACGTGTCTTCAATGATAATGATTCAATGATCAAAATAAGTCACATTGAGCATGTGTCATCAAGAAACTACACCAATTATTTTGCAAATGGTACATATTCTAGAACACACATGTCTTTTTCCCACTCCCATGAAGCTGCTGGTTGTGCGTGGCCTATAATACATATTTAATCTCACAGAGCTATGTAATTGATTGGACCATATCAGAGTGCTAATATCAGACCCTGAGACATCTATATCCTATGATTTAACCTAATAAAGTGAATGGAATAAATTCTTAGCTCGCCCTTCCAAATACATGTTTAGTAAATATTTCTTTTCTGAGCTTGATAACTAGGTAGGCTCTATCATTACAAATCCATTACTGGCACCAGCCATGTGCCTATTAGGCCCTGTCTCCTTGGAGAACACCCACTCATTAATACATTGATTCAGACACGTTCCACACACATGTGCTGCTCCCTTCACATGGCACGAGTTGAACAATCACCTTCCAGCCCCCACTGTGTTCCTTTCTAAGGAGGCCTCATGGGGCAGGGTCTCAGTGTCGGGCTGCTAGCTGCAGTTTGGTGGTTCAAATACACCAGCCAGCGTGTCTGAGGGCTAAAGATGGGCTGTCTGCTCCCATGAAGATTTATAGCCTTCGAAATCCCACAGAGCAGTTCTGGTCTGTCCCTCAGGGTAACGCGGATGTGGAACCAACCCAACGCTTCTCCTCAGACTGGGAGGGCTCAACGGGGATTCTCAGGATGCTTCTACCACCATCATCAAACATGGGTGAACGGTCATCGAACACAGTACACATCCACACACCCACGAATATACACGCACTGCACACTAGAAAAATCAGCACCCAACAAAGCTCTTAACACACACCACAGACACACGCCCAACATCTATACTCCACACCCACAACACCTATCAAAGGACACACACCATATACACACAACACACACATAACAGATGGCTACGTACCACACATACCACCAAACACAACATACTCCACACATAACCCACGCCACACACCAAATACATAGATTACACACAGAAAGCATGCATGCCACACACCAAACTCCAAAAAGCCAGACACACACTGCACACATAACATGTGCACACACAACAGGCAAAACATACCCCACCCTGCCTCACACACCATATAAATACACTGCATCATATACCACACACATGCACAGACTATATACATAGTCTAAGTCACCATGTGCACGTACTACACATAAACACAAAGTCCACACACATGCACACATACATCATACACCACACAGATGCTGCATGCATACGCAATAAGCATACCCTACACATGTACACACCCACCACCCACATGCGCGCACACACACACACACACACACACAATCCGAACCTTCCATGGGGAGTGCTCCTGATGCTATCGCAGGCCTGCAAGGGGGCTGGTACCCACCTGTGCTCGTGCGGTAGGTGCCAGTGTGAGCTGGCGGCAGAGTATCCCCCTGGCTCTGGCTGAGGCTCCTCATAGGGGGCTTCTGGTAGACACGATCCTCATAAATGGGGTCTATGTGGTGCTCTGGAGACTGCAGTGCCCGCAGCTCTGGCCCCAAGTGGCCATGCTGGCTGCTGTAGGAGGCTCGGGACCCAGCTGAAATCAAGGACAGAGAGAGATATTAGACCCCAGCCACCATTCAAGCGGGACTGGTGATATGGAAGACACATTTGAAAATAGCCTCTTTTAGGGCTGAACTGATGAAATCTGCAGAAAAGCAAATGAGTAACATGCAATGGCAGCAATACATCACGCTAATCAGCTTATCAGCAGCACCCAGCTGCCTTGTTTCCCCCACCCACCCAACCTCATCTCCCTATAAGGCTTACAATGCTCCCCAGATAAATCCAGGGTGGACGAGGCTCTGATGCATGTCGCCTGGTTCCCCACTAAAGGAATCAGCCTGTCAGTCTGTCCTAGAGCCTCCTCATTATCCCACCATTGCTGCCCCTTCCACTGCACAACAGGCTGCAAGAATTCACCAACCCACGCATAACGCACGAGGGCCAGCCATCATGATGTGGTCACTGAAGACTGACCCAACGGAGTGTCCATCCCCAGATTGTCCACGGACTGTGAGTGAACAGGACTAGTCAAGACTCACACATACACACACACACACACACACACACACACACTGCCACCAAGTCCATTCCAACTCATAGAGACCTCTAGGACAGGGTAGAAGTGCCCCTGCGGTTTCTGAGACTAACTCTTCACAGGAGAAGAAAATCTCATCTTTCTCCCCAGGCATGGCTGGCTGGTAGTTTCCAACTGCTGACCTTGCTTTGCAGCCCAACATACAATCCCTTACACCAACCACCAGGGCTCCTTCGAGGAGCCAGTAGTTGAAGAAAGAATGTTTCTTAATTCTACTGTCCTTCACACCCTCCCAGCCTCCAAATGGAGGTATCTGCAGTTGGTCTACCATCCGCTGAAAAGGCACAAATGGTTGTCACGGACTGGGGACGATTTTAAAGACAAAGTCTTCCAATGCTCAACAATGGAGTGGCTTCTTCAGAATCATGTAGCCAGAGGATTCTAAAACCCCTGCGAAGTAGAAATGCAAGAGGAGCTGGCATCTCAGTGATGGAAGCCTCACCTCACATGCCGGAGACCTGGGGTTGATTGGTGCCTAGCGAAGCCCCCACCCATTTATCAGTGGAGGCTCATGTGCTTCCAAGATCCAACACCAGCTCCAGACTAGGATCCACTAGGAAGGAAGCGATGGTTTATCTACTTCCACGAACCCCCCAGTGAAAACCCCGTGGGGCACAACAACTCACTTCTGGATGGCTCACAGAAATGGTGCAGGAAAGGGCAGCGTTTTGCTTCATCGGGCGTGGGGCCGCCATGAGTCGGAGAGAAAGAGGAGGGCAGCTCACAACAACAGTGACAACGACAACAACAGCAAGAGAACAGATCCGTTGAAGCGATAGCCATTCAGAAGTTTTGATGTGGCACACAAATTCTATTTTCCTAGCACTTTTTGCATAAAGAATATAAAAACCTGTTTCCACGGAGCCGATTCCAACACAGAGCAGCCCTGGAGGGCCAGGAAGAACCCCCCCCCACAGTTTCATGGCTGTGATCTGAAAACAAATGTGGGCTGCGATCCGCATGATCAGCAGGTGGAAACCACCAGCAGCTCTGCGGAAGAAGAACTGAGCTTTCTACTCCTGTGAACAGTTACCGTCTCGGGAACCCACAGGGAGTCGCCACGAGTCAGCATTGACTCCATGGCAGGGCGAGTCGTCTCTACAGACACCCTCAGTCACACGTCTCCCTGCAGAGTGGGCCTGAATGCTTTCCTTTGGGGGAGCAGCCAAGTGCTGCGTCACTGGTGCACCAGCCTAACTCCTCTTTAGCATCTTAGAGTGTCCCTGTAGGACAGAGTAGAACTGCCCTGTGGGTTTCCAAGACTGATCTTATGGGAGAACAAAATCTCATCGTCACAAACCTCTGGCCTTGCCATTAGCAGCCCAGCGGACAAGCCTCTATACCACCAGGACGCCTTCTCTGTAGCACAGACTGCCTTCAATTTAAATAAACAGAAAACAACGCCTTTCTGAATGACTGGGGCAGTGCTCTGTGACTACCGTGTGAGTGAAAACTAATTGGGAAGGTTTTCGGAAGAGGAGAGGATGAGGGCAGGCGAGTTCCTTACATTTCCCTTCGCTGGTAATTAAATAAGTTCTGATTTCGATAGCATTCACATGAATAATAGATTTGAAATGAGTGCTTTGCATAATTAGGTTCATTGCGTCTGATTTATCAAGTGCCAACATCGCACTGAATATGATCCCCGGCTCATATTTTTGCAGGAGTGTATTTAAGCACAACTGGCTTTGAGGTTCCGCTGTCAATCTTTCTTTCTGCTGAAGGTTTTGACAATATTGCCAATGAGTTAAACGTTGGAAAACAAGGGACCAGCCGTTACACCCAAACATTGTCTAGTCAAGGATGCTACTCATCTTTGGTTGATGTTGCATAGTAACGTCCTCCCCCCTGTGTTAATCAGCAATGACACCCCCTCCCGCCCCCAAATACCCACTGATAAACAATGAGGACCTGTAAATCTCTAAAGATGGGGTGTCACAATCTTAATCTACCTGTGCAAACCTGTTTGCTATCTTCATTTACATTGAATCCCAAAACTTCTACAAAGGAATCAGAAATGAATATAATTATTCATTTGGACAAATGTCCAAATTATGATGATAAATCTGATCGGACCTCTGTGAATTCTTGACTCTCCATCACGTGTCCTACGACGCCTGCTCACGAACACGAAAGTGTAAGGTCCACACGAACAAGAAAGGATAAGGTCCACACGAACAAGGGTATTGAATTGGTGACAGTTTGAGATAAATTTACTACACCAACCTCTCCTGGGAAAGTTCCAGAAAGCCTTTAGATGATGTACAGATGCACTGATTTGCAGAACATGTACTGCTGTGCAGTGGCAATGCTCTTTCTC